CTTCCCTGTATGTAGGAAACAGTACATTGATTGTGTCTCTCCACAGTTTGATGCATTTCTGGTTTAAACAGATTGCAAGATTGTGGACTGTGGGCAAGTTGTTAATTCAACAGCCTGTATTCTACTGTATACAAGGTAGGTATATTTTAGTTGGTATGTTTTAATATAGACAAAGTAAGAAGGTGTTTTTTCTGTTTTTTCTTTCTTTTCTTTTTCTTTTTTCAACCGTGACTTTAAATATCTAATGGTTTGAGGTAAATGCTCTGTACGGATGTGTATCTCACTAACAACAGTTAGTCAGTTTCTGCATTGATGCCCTGAACACAAATGTCTATTCATTTTCTGTACTATGCAGATGAAGACAGACAGAGGCAGAAGCAGAACCAAGTGATGTTGTAACTTACATGCAAGTTATTGAGCCATCGTTGAGGAGGGCAGTACAAGTACTCCCCACTCTCTGCCCTTACTGGTCTGTACACACCACTACAACACACACAAACACAAACACAGACACACAACTCAATATCCTTGATAGCTCTTTTATATGTGACAAAGTGACGTGTGCAGATCACTTTATTACAGTATTACAAAGCAGTAGATAAGGACAATAAACACCTTGTTGGTGTGACTAAAGGGGTCTTTAAAAATTTGTGTATATGTGTCAGCATATGTGTATATACAGAACAACTGAAGGTCTTTAACCTCGACCTACGTTGAGCCTACTCGATAATGTGTCTGTCCACATAGCCTTACCTGTTAGGAATGGTGTGATTGTAGGAGATGGATTTATCCATACAGATCTGCCTGGCTGGCTGCAGTGAAAAGAAAGTAGGTACAGTTAGATTTCCTTATTCCTGTGTTGACTCTAAACAGACATTCATCCCATTCAGCTTTATGTTCATTTCATGCATTAGTGTAACATTTGAGAGGTTTAATTTGGATGTGTCACTGTTATCTGGATGTGCTTTGATTTTAGGAAACTGCCATGTGATGTTAGAGTTTGGAGGGTCAAAGGTTGAGGGAAAATTGGATGAAGAAAGCAGTTGCTTGGTAAAGTGTTTACTTACCTCAGCATCATACACTGTGTCAATACTGGGATGTCTCTGTAGATGTCAGGGAGAGTGAACACTGGTTAAACCACTGAAAGAGCAACATGAACAACCTAAACAATGGCCATTGTATTGTATTTAGACTGCCCGTGAGGTGATCTGAAGCGGTGCGTTTAGTTTTGAGAACTGTTACTACCCTGTGCCACGTGCACAGACTTTACCACAATAGTTACTTTCCCATGATTGTTTAAACTTCCTGGCACCCAGTGTATTGTAGCACACCCCACCCATCTGAGTCAGTGAGGCTATGATGTGTATCACAGATGAAGATGATGTCTGCTGTATCCATGGTTACCTTCGTAGACTCTGGCCAGGTAGACACTGAACAGTCCCAATAAACTGCATCCACAGGCAGGTCCCTGTCCAATGAGAGCTAACACACACACACACACACACACACACACACACACACCGACGGAAACTGAGTGCATTTTACTGCCCACAATAACTGAATGCCTTAATTTGTCCTTAAAACACAGTGTGGCACACACACCAACAGACACAATAGTTATTAATTTGTACCTTTCCATTGTCACACCACTCGGAGACCCCGCACCGACCCAAACTGACCCACAGCGCGGCCACGACAGTCACCGTCAGCGGCGGGGACGTCGTTTGGCTCGGCATGGTGACAACCAGTCATTAAAGTGAGAACGGACCCACATTTAAGGCTTGCTAGTTGTCATAGTTTCCCTTTGGTCCTCCAACTAGAGACCGACAGACAAAGAACTGACCTTTCATAATCCAAGAGCAAAATTTAATTGGCAAAAGTCCCATAACAGTGAGACTGTCGGAGAGATGTCGGCTAAAAGGGTAACCGCCACACGGTGCCGTGTGTCCTCTGCTGTCTTCTTTAAGTTAAGATAACGTTGGTTAGTTGTTCTACATTATAAGGTAAAAACACTGAAGGAGACTCAGCCATTTAACGTAGGAAAAGGTAAAAGTATGTGCTGTGGACTCCTGTAACTACTGCACCACTTTATGATACACAGCTGTCAAGTTATCAACATTGTTGAAAGACGTTTTCCTTAGAAATTTAAATAACATATGGTTCTTGTATCAACTTCATTAGCTATATTAATATCTTATATTTCTCATTTTCTGCATATAATTATTCATTTAATGAATTTAAGGATCATATTCTCTGGATATGTACAATCCAGTGTTTGTTCTTTCCTTTTCTTTTTTCTTTTTTGTAATAAATTTACTTTTATTTTGAGAATAAAATTTGATTTCCGGAATTAGCTGACTCTGGTGTTTCTAACTTCACAAAGCTTTAAACTACGGAAACGGAAAAGGATCATAAGATAAGACTCTCGTAGTAAAAATGACCCTGTCATACCTCTGAATAACCTCTGGGAGGCGACCCAACAACATTGCATGACTTAAATAAATCAATATTCTTTTTACCTCTTGTAGTTGGTTCATTATTTCTACAGACCAAAGGAGAAACACCTTCTCTCTGCGACCCAGTTCAAAGACTCAAGTAGTAAAAGTATTGCGGCTGTTAAAAGCAAAAAATTGAGGTTGTGCGATAGGTATCATTAATGATAACATGCCTTTCAGTTTTGCATTTGGTACGTCCTGTTAAACAGTGGAACTTTACCCGCGATACCACTGGACTTTGTGCTTATGCAGACATTGCAGATAAACTACTATCCTCATCCCAGGCACTGAAACAGGCATTACCTGTTGGCACAGGTAAACCACAAGAGCAGCCAGAATTACGAGACGTTGTTGCTTTCAAAATAAAAGAGACTGTGTAAAAAGCCTGAAATAAGTGTGCAGTCTGTTAGTTGCTGTTTCTCACAGAGCAAGAAGATCATTCATGAAAATAGCACGCTTGGTACATGAGGTTTATAATAGGCACAGTTTTCGTAATGTTAAATGATTTCTTTCAAAGTGGGATTTATTTTGAAACTTGGGAAGTGTCTGATGTTGGCCTCCTCGACACTTCTCTGTTTCCTCATCCATAAAAACTCTAGCTACACACACACACACACCCAGTTTTTCATAAACTGCCCAGGTGGGTCTGTCAGAGGAGACCTGGGTCCCTGGACAGAGAAGTCTGGACCTGTATGGAGTCTACCCTCCTCAAAGGTTTGCTGTCTTTTAGACTGATTTGTTTAAAAGTCTACTTAGTTAACAGTTTGATGGGTGTGTGCTTTATGACATTTTGGCATGCCTTTTCAATAAGCAGATAATCATTTCTAGAAGGCACATTGTCCATTTATATTGCAGTTTTATAGAGGTGTTTCTAAGACTAATATAATCTGTTTACACAAAACAAAGACATTTTCTTTGTTCCTTGTATTGTTAGGGGTGTGGCATTTCCCTGAATTGTTGTAATAATTGGCCTATTCACTGGATTCACGGCAAAGGTCGCCTAAAAGGCATCAATCTGCAGGCATCATTTTATTGATTTACCTTATAATGTTTGAGTTATACTCCTCTGTTTTAACCTGGCTGTCTATTTAAAGGTGTGGGGCAACAAGGAAGTGCACTCACAGTCATTCAAATTGCGGATTCAAATTTTTTTGTTTTAAAAAAGAGACCAGAGTAATTGGTGGCTGTAAGCCAAACATGTCTAATCCTGTCACACTGTACTGTTTAGCTCCAGGTGGAGCAGGCGCTGCAGGTGTCCAGCAGCCAGTAACGGCCCCGCCTGGTGGTTTGCAGCCCCTCGCTGAGGTAGCCGAACCTGCAGGCCTGGGAGATAAGAGTCAACCCGGACACCCCTCAGGAGCAGGAGATGGACAGGTGAGCAGGAGAGAACACAAAACAACAATCATTTGAGTGCAGTGATCCATTTTGTTTCAGAACCAAATATTCATGGAGCTTTAGATATAATTTCATGATGCTAATCCAAAATGATAGATCTAAAAATGCAACTACAGTTGCCTAGCAAAAAAAATATTAAGTTTTACTATTATGCATATCTGCTGGGCACCACCCAGATACTCCACCAAGACTGTGAAGGACACTTTAAATAATCTCTGCTCTTTTCTCTTTTTGTTTGTCACCAGGAGCTTTACTCATTTGACAGCTCTCTGTCCTCTTCAGAAAGTGAGGATGAGGGTATTGGCAAGAAAGAGAAGAAAAAGAAGAAAGTAAAGAAGAAGAAGAAGAAGAAGAAAGTATGTGGCTCAGAAAGCTTATCTTCACAACCAAGCAATATTCACGACTAAATGTTTTTATTATCACTGAGTATTTTCTTGAAAACTCTCAGTGTAATGTGTCTTTTAAGACAAAGTCATGTAACTTCACAGCTGTCAGTTGATCTGTTAGCTTCTTGAGGGTGTATTCTCGATTGGAAGTTACACACACGTGTGTCTACTTTGCAGAAATCATGAGTTTGCACAGTCCCGACACCTGACCGAGGAGTGAAGTGCAGTGTGGGTTGCACCTAGCAACAGCCAGTCAAACAGCAGAGAACTAGGAATGAGAGTCATTTGTTTATAATGTAGATCAACTGTCACTGTCGCAAAAGGTTTGATTGGCTTACAAAATAGCTGGAATGGGCATGTGCATGTGTGTGTGTGTGTGTGTGTGTGTGTGTGTGTGTGTGTGTGTGTGCATCATTTTTGTAAAATGGCTGCTTGTGTAGTTTCCTTTGTGTGTTGCCAAGTGTTTGAGGAGCCCTTCCCTTCTGCTGCCAGCTACAGCGCCTCCTCTAAGCAGCTCTGACAAAGCCTCGCTCCAGTGTGTTTGTAGTGACTCATTCGTTTAGATTCTCGTTTAGCACTTTCACCAACAAAGGATTTGTATAAATAAACCTGTTCAATGTGCACATGAAGTTGAGCAGTAACATTCCCTTCCTTTTTCTCAACAGGATTCCAGCTCCTCCTCATCTTCATCTTCATCCTCATCCTCCTCTTCTTCATCCTCTTCCTCCAGCAGCTCTTCAGACAGTGACAGTGAGGTAAGTCACGGTTAAGTGAAATCCCGTAGCCGTACAGAGGTATATGGCCTGCTCGCACCTGATGTCTTGCTATAACATATCACACATGAGTTGCTGTCATCACATGCCATTCAAAACCACAGCGCCCTGCCTGAGACGTTGCCTTGTGACTGCCTTGTTTGCGTTGATCAGTTTGAGATGAGACGTCTTGATGTTTGATGCACAGCTCTCAGGGGTCTTTCAGTTGAAGCAAACATATTTCCTTTAAACAAGTTGAACAAACTGTAGATCTGATGGTTTGATAGTGTACTTTTGTTTATGGTAATCCTTTAGATTTAGAACTCTTTCCTGCAGCATTGCTAAATTAAATCATTGGCCACGAGCACAAACAATTTCACATCAGCTCACAGGGGATTGATAGTCCCTTCTAACTATGTCACTGCCTTGGGTGAGGATATATGAGTTTGTCAGAGCTGACAATAACAAGCTGCTTGAAAAATATTTAGGGTGGAGGGGCTGTAAATTTGGGTGTATTTAGAAATTCATAAAAATTGTTTTTATCCTGTATTTTGGGGGATAAGTGCCTCAACCCTCCCCAGACCTGCTTTGTCAACAGTTTCAGCTTTGAAATAAACTGTATATCAAGGAGCACACAAATGCCTAAAGCATTTCGCCTTTTGGTCTAGTTTGGTAACATTTTGCCTCAGGTGACTGCAGTCACATGATGGCATGATATCTTACTCATTTTCTGAGGGTGTGGGTGGAAAATCAGGAGACTCAGGAAAAGCAAGTGACTCTTACAAGTTTTTAAGACAAAAGACAGAAACAAAGGTTCAAGAAAGTGTCAGGTTGAATTTTTGTATCCCACAAATTTGTAACCACTTAACATGCATAACATGTTACCATATAAATTACCACTCTTAAAATATTACAAGAGCATAAGAGTCAGTGGACATAACACTGGAATAAGTTTCACCCTGGACACTAGGCGGAGGCTTGAATGTCCCTGATCTGATAGGCGGTATCTGACAGGAGAGGAACACACCTAGTGACAATGTTTGAACACCCTCTGTATCTACCAGAGCAAGTCATGACAATAAAGTCTGGAGTGATCTATGTAGCATTATATCAAATGGGAACTCCCCAGACATCAAAAATATGTGGGTGTGTGTGTACTTACATGTATAGTTACATAGTAGTAGTTCTGTATGTGTCATATGTAAAGTCTGTGCATATTGTATCTCATGTGTTGATTTTTGCTGCATGGTCATAGCAGGTGTGAATATTTGTTATCTGACTTTTGTGAAGGCAGACAATTCTTAATCTGTAACTAGTACGAGACACCCAGCCCTGTTCCTGGTAGTTGTATTTTCATTTATACTTTATGGAGCAAATGTAACATGCACTTTGCAAACAACCTCCACTTATGTGCACATATACAATAGAATTAAACATGCAGTAATAAAAGAATCAACATCCCCTTGCAGGATGACAAGAAGAAGAAGAAGGAGAAGAAGAAGAAAAAGGATGAGGAGAAAGAGTACGTTTGGGACAATGTCATCATATCTTATGTTGGTAAGAGAAACACAGCATTTTTCATTATAACTGTAAATAAACAACTGTAATGTTTTTAAAGGATAATACATTTTAGGCTCTTTGCAATCACAGTTACAAAAGTATATATTTCATATCATAGTCCCACCCCAAGTGAAGATACCGTTTGCATTTATTCTTGTGTTCCAAACACGTGCCAAAGCATTTCAGCTCACAGAGCTGCTTCAGAATACAGGTGGTTTCTTGCTAAAGGGCATCTTTGCAGAATTGAGTTGAAACTTCCAGTCTGTCCAGACCTTCCAGTTTAAGTAGGTGGTGGCAGTGGGCCACCAGCTGGGTTGTCATTTAAACTCTGACATGCACATTTAATATCATCCACATGGTCAACAAATGTCTCTAAAGTTTTATGTTTACAGCAGCTCATGGAAACTTATTCATTCAGATTTTCATTTGTCTCAGTTACTTCGAAACTTTGGTGGCTGATTTTGTGAACGAATAAACAGAATTATATCCAAGAATATTCGGAGCTGCATGATTGTCTATAAATTTCCTTTTTATTTCTTGCAGTGATGATATGTCATCTCAATCATATAAAATATGTAGTATTTGCATTTATTGAACAAGTGCTTTACATTTGAATGTATTAAATGTTTTCAGGTTGCGATGGACAAGTGGAACAGGTTTCTGGAGAGGGTCTGATCAAGAGCCAGGTGAGACAGAAAACAAACGACTCTCCATTTTAAACATGCTGTTGCTATTAAACCTGTCATTATAGATTTTTTGTGCGTTTGTTTGTTTGTTTATTTCAGGATTTGGGCTCATCAGATGATGACGATGACAAGAAGAAAGAAAAGAAGAAGAAGAAGAAGAAGGACAAGAAGAAGAAAAAGAAGAAGAAGGTATGTGAAATTTGCCTATAACACAGCAGATTGTTCAAGAATAATAAATTGGTTTATTCGGCCGGCATACATTACTAAATCACATAATGAATCAAATAGTGTGATGAAAACAATGAAAACTTTTAACCTTTATGTTACTTAAAATCTCTACTGTACTTCCTCTGTCCCAGAAATCATCTTCATCCTCATCTGACAGTTCATCATCTGACAGTGAGGATGAAAAGAAGAAGAAAAAGAAGAAGAAGAAAAAGAAGAAGAAGAAGAAGAAGAAGAAGAAGACGGTAAGACTAAAAAGAGTGTTTAGTACTTTATAGTTACAACATCAACTGTCTGATCTGACTAATCAGTATGAATATGTTAACTATACAGGACTCGAGCTCCTCTTCCTCAGATAGCTCCTCCTCTTCATCTTCGTCTTCTGACAGCGAAGATGACAAGAAGAAGAAGAAAAAGAAGAAAAAGGATAAGAAAAAGAAGAAAAAGAAAGACAAGAAAAAGGTAAAGCAATGTGAATGTTTTATCATTTGTCCTGGTCAGACTTCAGCCTCTTACATTTGTAAGTGGTACTATTGTTCACTAATAATTAAAACTGCGAGGATTCTACAGAAAGTATACAGTCATACCTTTACTTGTAATTGATTGTAATTGTAATCATTCATGTGTTAATCATAGAAGGTACATTTTGTAATTATACTTAGTTGTCACATAGAGTACAACGACTAATTTGTAATGCATAATTTGTGATGCAGAATAAATTGCACATTTTTGCATGAATGACAAAATGAAATGTTTTTTGTTATTGACACAGGATTCCAGCTCTTCATCTTCATCCTCATCTTCTGACAGTGATGAAGATAAGAAGAAAAAGAAGAAGAAGAAGAAGGACAAGAAAAAGAAGAAGAAGAAGGATAAGAAAATGGTAAACATCCACCTTCTTGGATTTTAAAAAGCCTAAAGCCTGTAAATTATGCAGGAGGTTTTCAGGTCATGTCACATTTTCCATTTTTGTTTTCTGCATACAGGAGGCTTAGGTTTTATTATGTTGTGCAGTATCTGGGGACAGTTTCTGGGTTAGACTCTTCATTTCTCAGTGCATGACTGTAGAAAGGCATGTATTCACTTTGTAGCACAGAACAAACCCATTTCCCCAACAGTGCACACACCTTCTGAGAAAATAAGTAGTAGCCTGTGTTCCTGTCAGGGCCTGCAGGAGAATGGCATGTTAAGTTACATAGTTTCACCACACCTCAACTCATATTGTTGATCTTTATTCAAATTCTTTTGCATGAAAGAGACAATGAAGGGGTATGTGCACTCGGGTCTGGTTATGATTTGTGAACAACGGCGTGTTGTTATGTGTTTGCATGTACTATATGTAGCTCTTGTAGGGGAAAACAAGGTACAGTGTACACTATAAGCCTGAGCTTGATTCTATCTGTGTGTTTCCACAGGATGAAGAGAAGAGTGAGCTTAGCAGTGTTACTGCTCTTTCAGCAGCTGGTGAGTGTTTCCACTTTGTGGAGACTCAAAAAGACTGAATAACAATCACAACAACAGTTGTCACTGTTCATAGTGTTGATGCAGCAGTGTTGGACTTTCTCCATTTCTGCAGGTGGCGAGATCACAGGAACCAGCGCTGACGGAGATAAAAAGAAAGATGAAGATGCTGACAAGGTGAAATACTCACAAATACTGTATGCATATATACTGTATAAATATATGCACAAGTACACAGAAAGTCATTGCTTCCTTTTGTCATGACAGGCCAAGGCCAAAGAGCTTAAAGCTGCAGGAGCTTCAGCTGGTATGTGTGCTACTGTGGCTCTTACACAAATCAAACCGCAAGTGGAGGATTGGAAAAGTTATATTGTTTTGGTTGTGATGACGTCTCCTGTCCAGCAGGGGGAGCAGAGGCATTCCCTGATGCTATTGAGGAAGGCCACCTGAGTGATGATGAGGGAGAAGGAGGCAAGGAGATGGATAAGAAGAAGAAGTTAAAGAAGAAGAAGAAAAAGGTAATTGTGCTGCTAAAAATCGTATTGGTCTCTGTTCCCTTTAAACAAACTGAATAAAGTATTATCACCACTATATACTGATGCAATGTTTATGGCATAATACAGTTATTTTACAGGATAATCAAGACATAGAGAGATCTCAAGACATCCATAGTGATTTCAAAATCATTGTCTGTGTTTTACAGGACTCTGGTTCATCTTCAGACAGTGATGATGACAAAAAAGATAAGAAGAAGAAAAAGAAGAAGGAAAAGGTAAAGTATACAGAGAGCTGTATAAACTGAGTTTATATCTGCTGATGGTGTTGTTTTCCCAAATTACCTTCTCTTTTTGCATTTACTGTCTTAAACTCACCTCATTAGCATCAAACAGACACAGAAGTGTTTCTGTGTGCAGGATGGGTGAATTAAAAACTCTAAATTTAGATGTGGGAATATGAGTTTCTGTCTAATACAACTTAAAGTTTGTAGATTTAAAAGGATTTTTTTTTGTTTGATTTGATCCGCAGGACTCCTCCAGCTCCTCTTCATCTGATAGCTCCTCTTCAGACAGTGAAGATGACAAGAAGAAGAAGAAGAAAAAGAAGAAGAAGAAGAAGAAGGTGAAGAAGAAGAAGGATAAGGTTTGTGTCTTCACAACACTTCTGTGTCTTCCATGTTTTTGTACTTGTGCTGTTTTTGAGTGGTTCAGTCGTGTATTGTATTGATATTAAACCCTTCTCGGTGCAGGATTCCAGCTCTTCCTCCTCCTCTTCCTCCTCCTCTGATAGTGAAGATGACAAGAAGAAGAAAAAGAAGAAGAAAAAGAAGAAGAAGGTAAAAAATATGCACTGGTTGTTAACCAGTGAAAAGTGGAGATTATTTAAGATTAAATACCAAGGATGCAGCACTGTGACTGACTCTGACTTGTATACTTGTAGAAGTCCTGCTCTTCTGATGATAGCTCTTCTTCTTCCTCATCCTCCTCTTCCTCTGAGAGTGAAGATGACAAGGTGAGATGACACATGCCCAAATAATATATACTCTACTCAAATGATAAATGATACGTCTGCACCCAAATTTACAGAGATAAACAGCTGCACATTTCATCATGAGTACGTCTTTTTTTTACTTTAGAAAAAGAAGAAAAAGAAAAAGAAGGATAAGAAGAAGAAGAAAAAGAAGGTGGCAACATCTCACCTTTTGCTTTCCATTCCAGGATTGACAATGAGTCACAATATCTTATACAACTTTTGGGAATATTAACCTCTGAAAACCTTGAAAAACTTTTAAAAAAGACGAAATGCTGAAGCATCTTGAAAAGGAAAAATTAGGTAGCTTGCCATTGACACCTCTTTATCTGTAGAATTTCATACAAAAACACTGTAATGATGAAGTGTCCAGAAAGTGTGGAGTGAAACAACTGAATTCAAAGTCAATATTCATGAGGTTATACAATGGTATTGTGACTAAAACATTAACTCTTAGTGGTTATTTAGGCAAAATGACTGCTCACAAAATTATTAACAAGTATCTACTGTTACTACTGTATGAATGAAATGTGATGTGTGTTATATACAATTTCACTTCTCTTTGCAGGATTCTTCTTCTTCTTCTTACTCCTCCAGCGATTCTTCTAGTGATGATGACAAGAAGAAAAAGAAGAAGAAGAAAAAGGATAAAAAGAAGAAGAAAAAGAAAGACAAGAAAAAGGTAAAACAATGTGCAGGTGTTGTATTTGGTGCTATTAAACCTGCTAAGTGCTATTCCCTGTGCATATTAAAAAGGCAATGTAGTAATATAATTATCATATTTACATCCAAGGACTCAGATTCTTCTAGCAGTGATGATGACAAGAAGAAGAAAAAGAAGAAGAAGAAAGACAAGAAGAAGAAAAAGAAGAAGGACAAAAAGAAGGTAATTCAGTATTTGATAAACAAAAATATGTTTTTATGAACGGTGTTCTTAAAATATATGATTGACATAGTTTCAATCTGAACAGGACTCAAGCTCCAGTTCATCGAGTTCCTCTGATAGTTCCAGTGACAAGGAAAATAAAAAGGAGAAGAAAGACAAAAAGAAGAAGAAGAAAAAGGTACATTACTCATACTCAGTGGGAATATCATCAGATTTATTTATTTACCCGTGAAGGTGAAATGACTGAATCTTATTGGTTCCCTGTTTGCCCCCCAGACTTCGGGTTCATCAGGAAGTGAAACTGAGGAGAAGAAGAAGATCGTAAGTAAAATGAATTTATGTTTAAAAAAAAAGGGGTGATTACAAGATTTAATTCATTCTCGGGTCAAGCTGATATTTCCTCAAGTTAAGAAAACTGCCATAATCTTTCCTCACAGACAGTCTGTTCACCTTCTGTAAGGTTAACCTGGTTTCCCATTTACAGTATCCTTCATGTGTGGTGGTGTTGATTTCATTCCAGGAAAGCCCAGATGGTGGGCAAAGTGGCGAGCCGAAAATGGAAGTTTCAGGTTCAGGTAGTGGTGGACTTTCTGCTAGCAGCAGCAGCAGTTCCAAGCCTGGCGGTACTACAGTCTCCTACGTGTCACTCCCCTCTAAACCCGTCTTGAAGCTGGATCCTCTTCCTCCCTCAGCTGTCTCCAAGCCCTCTGTCTCTGGCTCCTCACTGAGTATTGGGGAAAGGTCCCCCATTCGCAGACCTGTCAGCCCCATGGAGTCCCTGATGGGGAGCCCAAGGAGGTATGGAGATGGAGGGACCCGTTCCACTACCCACCTCACCTCAAGTGATCTACTGAGAGGCCCCAAACCTTACAAATGATGACATGTCATAGATTAAAATCATAATGTTAACGATTTTTAAAAAGTTTGTTTAAATGACATTGGAGGAAGTTGAATGTGATGATGAGCTATGCTCCAATGATGCTGTCAGTACCCTGATTTTATGCAAGAAAAAGATTCACACGTGGTGTGTTTTGTGTTCAAGATAATTATAACATGAAAAATTATTTTATATATTTTTTTAATTGGTAAGAAAGGAAAGGAAAGGAGATTTGTGGAGGAAATGTCAATTCACAATCACATGAAATAATGTCAAATGCTTGCTTTGGGGAATAAAACTGTGATTTTATCTGTTTTGTTTCTTGTGCCTGTTGTTGTTGTTATTATTACGACTTTAACATATGGTGAATTCAAGTACTCCTACATCCCAGGTTCTTCAGGTGCAGAGCAGGAACTAACTCATTTATATTGCCCCATAGCATCTGGATGTAAAGGGAAATTAGAATCAAAAGATTAAGAATCAACAAATTATTTTACTATTTATTTTAATTATTTTTAAATAACTGGAAATGACTTCATAATTTTTCTGATAATACTTAGGTTTAGTAGGCAGGCTACAACTTTTAATGCAAGTATCAACGGCAGTTACTTATTTCGATACTCTGGTATTTCCGCCTGCACATGAACGTAGCTCCCCTGCTGTAAATGAATGGACAGTACATGAACTTTGAACGTTTAACCCAGGAGCAGAGGTGGATAAGGGGCGTGGTTCAGTTAGGTCACTGTCACGTGTTTTAGGTGTGGTCGATCCAGATTTCCTGTGTATGAGTAACGCAGCCTGTCAGTGTTTGTTGTCACTTGTTTGGAGAAGCGCATGAGGAGCAGTCAGAATGGATTTCAATCTGTCGTCAGGTACGCGCATCTAAGTCGATCATGTTCATGTTCATCTCTATTAATGCTTGCTGTAGTTTGGGTTTGACTTCAACAGCACTTTGGAAAGCAACAGGTAGTTGTGGGACAGGAGTTGAACCTGGCAGTGTGATTTCCAATATACAGTGGCTATGCTTAATAATCAAAACCAAAAGACAGTCCCAGCTAGTGGATATAATGTGTCGCGTTACTCCTGCAGTTTACAGACATTGCTTGTAATTCAGATTCTCTGTGACACTTTTTTTTCTAACTTGATACTTAACTGCTCACTTCTGTCTCCCTTTCCAGCTTTAGATAAGAATGAAGAGGTGGTGAAGAGTGAGGAGGCTCAGAAGGATGAGTTTAGTTGGCCCTGGAACAAGAACAAGGATAAGGATAAGGTAGGAGCTTTGTATGCATACGTCCTTTCCCAGATGCTCATGTAGTTCATAAACATGAGAGCTTTTCCAGGTACTGAGAAATAGAATTGGGCACCAGTGTCTGTCTTTGGAACTAGGGGTTTAAACTGTTTTTTTAATATCAAAAAGTTGCCTCTCTGTTAAATGTGCCTTTGGGCTGCCAACTCTTTGGCACAATAGACTGTGGAAAACACAGTTCTCACTCTACATTGATTAATCATGATCACTAGAACCATGCACAGTCATTAAGTCTGATCTGATTCAATTGATCATCCATTCAAAGTCAACTTTTGCCATTTTTTTTTTAGAGCGACAGTAAGGACAAGTCTGGAAGTAAGGACAAGTCTGGAAGTAAGCACAAGTCTGGAAGTAAGCACAAGTCTGACAAGAAGCATAAGTCTGACAGCAAGGATAAGAGCAAAGATGGCGACAAGAAAGACAAGAAGAAAAAGAACAAGGACGGAGGATCAAGCGCTTCATCCTCATCTTCCTCATCCTCCTCCAGCAGTGATGAGGTAAGCCCAGTGCAACAGTTTTAGGGCTCTATTAACAATTTGATTTTTGATTTCACAAAATGCTTTTGGTCTAGTCTTGTTGGATTTTTGGCAGTATCAAGGAATACCAAGAGTGTGTGAAGGTGTTGCCGTTCTCAGACCTTTTAAAAAGCAAAATGCAATAAAATGCAGCTCAACATGTAACACAGCTGTCACACCTTGTTACAAAGGTTGACAAATGAATCACCAGCCGGCACATCTGTGTGTGTGTGAGTGTGGTATGTGTGGAGCATCCACAAACAGGTCTTACAAGCAGTGCCGGTTTTAATCAGACCTGGCACACCACACCCTCCTGTGTGTGTATACTGTTTTCATTCATAGCTCATTCTGCTGTCAAGTGACTGTATCTCCCATATCTGCAGATTCATTTTTAGCTTGTTAACCAGCAACCAATCAGAGAGCAACATCTACGATCTTATCAACTTTAGGCTGAATTCCTTTTGCTTTGTTTGCAGCTTCATTCTGAGAAAACAGAACAACATGTTGGTCACATATATATGAATAATAGGTTTTAGGTGCAAATGACCAAAGCCAAAGAAGGAAGAGCCCAGCCCAGTGGGGGAAGAGAGGAAATACTGATTAGATAGGAGAGTCATAAAAGAACTTTTCTAATCACTTGCATGGAAGTGAACAGGCTCATCTCAAACCTGTCATGGCCTGACTAGACTTCAGAACATTCCTCCTCCAAAAATGGTGCTTGTTACGGCTCATGCTGCTGCCGGAATGATTTGTGCATTAAAGATGGAGAAGGAGCTGTGGCACTTAAGATGTCCTTTAATAAATCATGTTTCCTTCCTGCAGTAACAGCATTGTCCTTTTTGTCATTTCAGGACTGATGCTTCCTGGGGGCCAGGACTGCTCTGTTAGTCTCTTATGATCTTGTCCATTGACAAAGTGAGTGTGTGTGTGTGTGTGTGTGTGTGTGTGTGTGTGTGTGTGTGTGTGTGTGCAATTGTACCAACTTTTCTTCTTGTCTCGTCACTGGTGTCACAGAAACATAATGGTTTTGTGTAAACAAATCTGCTAATTCCTAGAAGTAAATGTTCCGACAACAAACCAAGCAACTGCAGGTTCTCTGTTCGTCAAAATTCTCCTGTCAAGTAATGTGTGTTTTCTTCACCACTAGATGGCAGTGTTCTACATTTTTAAGGTCAGTCAAAGTTTAAGATGAAAGGAGTCTTATTTTTAGGATTTAAACTTTTAAAATACAAAGAAAATATAGACAACGTGACATTTGCAAACATTGTGTACATGCAGAAAAGCACCAAACTTGTTGAAATGACAAAAATAAAAAATATGTTCTATTTAGAAAAAGAATAAATAAACAAAAGGGCAATTATTGTTTTGTCTTTTAGGCACTTTGTATGGATAAGAGTCAAGTAGTTTGATGGCTCATGTGAAATTAAACTATTCAAAAATGGAAAACCTTGTTCCTCAGTGAAAGTGTAATGCAGCTGCAGAGTTCTCGGTTTGACCTGAAGTGACAATATCAGCAGGTGCCAGTGGACCAGAGGTGAAGAAGTATTCAGATCCTTTACTTAAATAAGAGTAACAATGTAAAAATACTTGACTACAAGTTAAAGTATTCTCAGCAAAATGTACTTAAGTATGAAGTAAAACTTGTTATGCAGAAGGACTGTGTTGAGTATTATATTGTTATTTACAGGATGATTATCACTGATGCATTAAGATATAAGCAGCATTTTATTGTTGTAGCTGGTCAAGGAGGAGCAAGAGTGAACTATTATACACGCTGCTGGGTAGTTTATTCTATAAAAAGCAAAGAAATTTAATATTTGATATATTTTGTATGTAAAATCTTAATCTGCAAAGTAACAGCTATAACAGTGAGATAATGTGGTGATGTAAAAGAACAATATTTCACTTTGAAATGTGGAGGAATAGAAATATTAAGTAGCATCGAATGGAAGAACTCGAGTAAGGTACTAGTAACTCAAAATTACACTTCAGTACGGTATTTGTATATATACATTTATTGCATTCACTGGCTGAGGTGGACACACTTAGACCTGATTGAACTGATCAACAATAAAAAATATCATTGTATGGGAAAAAGTGAAACTCCAAAGGCAACATAGGGTCCAACAACTCAAAGAATACATGATGCAGCACTAAAACAAAGTTCACCCATTTACCTGACATCAATATTCAAGTTATCATGAACTCCAGACAGGACTGTCAGGAGAAGAGAATTACAGCATTTAGCATTGAGGATCTCCTTCAGGTCTTTTGAATCTTTTATGGGGGTGCAGAAAAAAGAAAAATGGAGCGGTTTCAGAAGGGAATCAATAATAAATCAACCGTGCATCTTTTGGTGGCTGCTGAAGAAACCCAATTTAACCCATCCATCATGTTCAACCCCTTATTTTATTTAACCTGTAAAAAAATATTGAGGGGAGAAATCAGCGGGTGATTTACAAGAGCATCTTGATGAATTGATCTGGTAAAAGCAAACCAATGCATGAGATTTCATTCGTGCCAAAAATGTGCACCTCTTTTCAGACTAGCATACAGTATCGCAAAAGTTGTATGACTGTTTCAGAGCAGGAGCTGAGGGTACATGTGAGAAAAGTTTAAAAGACAGAGAGTGAGAGATGAACAAAGAGCTTGATTTGAAGGCCTCAGGACATGCTTAAACTCTTCTAACTTGTACCTTATTTGTCTGCAGTGACAGCTAAATTTCTATGAATTTACTGCCAACAGCTTTGGGACCAAAGGAAGGATGGAGGGATGGATAGATGGATGTACAAGGCACTGCCCCCATCATGTCTTTCCCTTTGATTTTCCTTTTCTTGATGTCTAAAAATCTAATTATGAAAGAAATTTCAAAAACAACCCAACACTGTTTCTCTTTTGATGTTTTGATTCATTTTTGGCTGAGTAACTGTGTGCAGTCTAGTAAGGAGTCATTTAGTGCTGAGGTGAGCTAAGTGTGATCAGTGGATCAGAGTGATCAGAGGCCTGAACATGGTTTGTTTGATGCAGTCTCCTCTGCTGCTTCTTTTAATCACTGAGTGGCTCCTTTAGCCCACAGTCACTCCTGTGCGTTTCTTTTTCCTGCTGTGCTTTACTAAAGGTTCTTGTCTTTGAATTAGTAGATTATCCTCTACAACAGTATATAAAATCTTTGATTCATTACGATTGAACTTTTCAGAAGTAATGATGCCTTTCAGTGTCTTTCACACACTCACAGGTGTCGCTGTCTTTATCGTTTGGATACATGTGTGTGTGTGTGTGTTGTGACTGTTTCTCTTGGTGCCACTGAGAACATGAAAAAGTATTTAAAATATATACACACCCCAGAAATATAGGCTATAGTCTTGTGAATTGGGCCTATATATGATATTATTCCTTGTATTTATTACTTCTATAAAATCTCAGAAGTGCATTAAATTTATATGACTATAAGGCCACCAAGTACCACCAATATTCTGTTCTATTCTACTCTATCGGTCGTTCTGTGGACGCACCGCAGGAGGGCACGAACGTCTCTCTCTCTCTTGACTGGCGTCATGGGTCTCCCAGCAACAGCCGGGCTCCAGCTCACCTCAATCATCCGCTGCTGAGTGCCGTCAAGCCGCACGAACACACTCAGACTGAAACCGGAAACTAACTATGTTTGCCTAGAAAATAAAAGCACACTAAGTTCAGGTGAGCTTCTTGCGGTTTCATTCACTTTAAGCCTATTTACCTGCAGGCTTATCCTGGCGGACTATAGCTACTGGGTACTGTCAGTAGGGTTGTAGCCAGTTTGCCAGCGACATGTAGGTAAATAGACCCCGATATGAAATTGAATTTTGTAACAATCCCATTTGCAGGTGATTGGCTTCTTCAGAGAAGTTCAGTTTTTTACTTACTTTAAAAATACTTTGTATACTTTCGATGCTAACACTTAAAAGATCCTTTATCATTGAAAACTGACTTGAAAGCAGGAAAGTGCGGGGAGCACACAGGTAGCGTAAATTTAGGCCTACATAGAGAGAAGTGGTCTAATCCTGATTGACGGACTAACCCTTTGACCTGTTTCCACTTTTTACAATAGTGTAATCTGCACTATTCCACTTAGGCGACATAGGATGTCGTATATCAAATAGCCTACTCCGCGCTTCTTTACGATTTTTGTTTTATTTTGAAAAAATCTCAACCGGAAGTCGTGTTATTTCCAGTGCGGTGTGACTTTCTCCCAGGTTCGCTCAGCTGCAGCAGATCAGACGAGAAATCATGGAGCGCAACAAGACGCGTTGGAGAGACTCACCAAGCGGACGGGAAAAGTGCCAGTTTCTGGTCTGCTTGTAAGTCACTTTCAGTGGTAGTGGGAAGATTGTCCTTCTCGAGCAGGTGGACGTTGAGTTGGCCTATTTCCAACGTGCGTAAATTGACAGGAGAGGTCTAGGAAAGAAAACAGTCTTGGAGTGACCGGCAGCTACCAAAGAACGGGAGGAAAGGAGGAGTGAAAAGAGCCCGAAGGAGAGACGAGTGCCTGGTGGATGGAAATGCTCTCTGCGTTATTTCTTCCCACACATTTGAACATTTCACGTTTTTTCTGGAAAATGTCGCGGGTGTGCGCTGCGTAAAACCGCCGACTTCTTTCATGTCTCATGCCAGTAGAAGGAACAGTTACTTTTCTTCAAGTTAACTGTAAGCGGAGCTGTGATTTCATAAAAGAGGAGGCACTGGGCTAAAACTGAGAGCGAGTCACTGAACAGTTACGAACCATGGTGAAGTTTCATAACTCGGACCTATGGATAGCCTGGATGGTCATTTTCTGCATGGAGGGTAAGTTGTGTGTCCCCCAGAAACTTGTTTACTCTTCCCAAGCTGCAAGCACAATACACCTTGTACACTCACAATCCTACAGGATGATAATAATAATATTAATAATAATAATAATAATAATGATAATGATAATAGGTTATAAGGAGAATATTTTAGTTTACAGATTTTGAATCACGTGGACAAATCATTATTACAATACATCTGCATCAGTATTGCAAAAACAGATGTATCTGGAATTAAACTGTGCCACGGGCTCAACCTCTCCTCTCCAAGAGCGCGTGCCACAGCTATTTGACCCCCCCCCCTCTTAATACTGTATGTTTGGATCAGGCTGATAAATCCTCGGCATTTCCACAAAAACTAAAGCACAGATTTAGGATGACTTTTCCCCAGCACTAGTCGCCATGTCATCTCTCCCAAAAGCACTCGGCGCTCTGCCGTGCCTGATATCGCTTTTGCACGTCTTACACAACACAAGGCCTAAAATTACTGCTTTTTTTTTTTTTTTTTTAAACCGTGCAACCGCCACTGATACACTTTAGAACGTGGCATAGGAGTGGGAGCGTCTGTGTTTTGAAATAGAAACGGAGCAGACGGTGGAGGGTTGCGCTGGTAATCCGCCCGATTAACGAGAAGCATGGTGACCAGGCAGCACAGGAGCGCAGGCAACCCCAAAGGAAAATTACTATATGTTCCTATAATTCTTCCGTGGGGAATTATACTGTGTGTGTATGTGTGTGTGGCAAAAATAGCAAGTTTGTTGACCTTATCTTCTTCTAAGTCCAGTGGTTGTATTTTAGCAATCCAGCAACATTCCTATTGAGAGAGCATTAAAGTTTAGTGAGTTTGTCATATTACTTTATTTTGTATAGCCTCATGAAATACTGAAAATGTAAATTAAAGTTTGGTATATTTGTCTAATTTGTTAAATAAAATGCTTCCTGTAGTTCTGAGAACAGTAGTTAGAGTTACAGATTAAAATTCAAAGCTTAAAAGATGATAAATAACATGCAGACAAGATTAATGTTGACCATTAACAACTGTGCATCATTAGCAAATGTATTCATGCAAATATGATATAGGCTAATGAATGAAGATAGTTAAAAATGCATCCAGAGACTGTTAAATAGCTGTAAGTTGAAAATGAATGAGCTCCCTGAAACAATCTTCCACTTTCTTTCACACAATGTACAAATCTTTGTCAGAAAAATCGCAGAGCAGAGGAGAACCAAAACAGTCCCTTTAGAGCCTCATGTCTGGTCTCAAAAAGCATTTCCACTGAACCATGCAGGCACACACACGAGCACAAACACAAACACACACACCAGCTTGACATGTCAATTTGGACAGAACAATTGTGTGAGATTGAATTTAGACCTGATTGCCCAGGTGTCTCACTCCGCTGCTCACTTGTTTAGTTATATACCTTTGCGGTCAGTGGACGTTTGGTGTCTTGTCAGCTTTACTCAATGTTACACACACACACACACACACACACACACAAACATACGTACACAGCTTGATTTAATTTTCTATGGCTCTGCTACTTTGTCTGATAAAATGGTTCGAAATGAAAACAGTAGATTGTGGCCATTTCGTCTTTTCCTCCCAAAGTAATCGCATGTATCTCCAGCTATTGCCTCAGTTATTGCAACGAGTGAAGGTTCAAGTGTACAAATGACTTTACAGTAAGAACAAACTGCACATATGAGCTCAGCAGCTCCTTTAACACGCCAACTTGTTCAGACAGAAGCTTCGTTTTCTGGACAATTTTTTCTTCTCTCCTCATGTGTCTTGGCGGGGAGCTGCCAGTGTTTCTATAAATAAGTTCTGATGCAGCAAAGTCAGTATTGATTGTGGTTGCTTGTTTTGGCTGTGTGTACTGACCTCCACTTTTTGCATGTTAGACATTGTCACTAGATTGTTCTGATCTGTTCATCTGTTCATGTTAGATGACACTGGATTGTTTGGGTTTATTACACAAACAGGCCTGAATCATGTCAACTGTGTTGTTGGCTTGAATGAGATGTTCATGCCACCCTGCACGTGTTTGTGGAGGTGGACTTGCTATTAAGTAAAAAGTGAAACGTTTTGAAAAGAAGAAAACTGTGAGCAACTATGACAGGAGGAAGTTAGTTTCATAAGTGACTCGGACAGGCGTCAGTCATGGCAAAGTTCAGGTCAGGGCCCTTCGTACTTTCAGCATTAGTCAGAGGACATGTCATGTCCTCCTTCGTCCATCAACCCTCCCCAGCTTCACATTAATATTGTATTTATCTTTCTCAGTTAGAAATGGGCAACTTATAGTGAAGTCACAGTAAAGAAAAGCTGGGTTCATCAGATCTGCAGTGCATGAAGTGGAAGATTCTAAACATTAGAAGAATAAACAGTGGAAGCTCTAAGCTAATAAATCTGATTGGTTCAGCTGATGTCATAGCGAAACCCCTTGGTGATACAGACACAGAGCTGCTCTGTCCATGATGCCCCGATTTAACGATCCACCCAGAACAACCCTCAAGGGTGTGGTAGTGACCGATCTGTAGGTCTAATCAATTCAGCAAATTAAATCCAAGCGGAGGTGGTGGCTCTGAACTTTTCAACTACAGTTGTTTGTTTTGGTTGTTTGCATAATAGATCCTATAGAACATTTCAAATTTGCATACAGTGAAATGTTCTGATTTAGCCTGCAGGCTTCCATCCCACTGTCTGTATATTTGATATGAAGAGTCCGGCGAGGGACGAGGAGCGCTGGAGCATAACAAAAGAAAGACAACATGGAGTGTTTCTCAAGCTCATTGACATTCAGGGCATTCATGTCTGCATCAAAGCTGAACTTAGACCAGTTCCCTTCTGCACTTTTCTCTGTGAGCTTGTTAACCTTTGAAGCTCTGCTGAAATTACAGAGCAAGCCTATTCCGTTTGTTGTTTACACGGTCTCCTTTGCTATGTTTGCTGCCTTCATTTAAATCAATTGATCATTCAAATATGATTCGTGCCACACAGTTGCACTGGGTTCACAGTTGCAGTAAGGATGGTTTCTGTGAAAAGACACGCAGCTACCAAAGTAAAAACTGGGCTGAATTATGGGGAAAAGTGAACTTTTATAACCATTACTTCAACATCTATTTTCAATCACTACTAGGATGTTTCAGTTGCCTCTTCAAAGCTGCTTTGTTTTTATTCAGTTAGATTTGTTTTGCAGGTGGTTAAAGATAATGAAGGATGAGAGGAAACAGACTGTCAGGAGCTTTGAAGAGAGAAAAACATGTTAAAGAGCTGGAGAGAGTTGTATCCTTTTGTAACCACAGGTGATTTTGTAGTTTTTTGATGTAATGCATCAAACTTAGATCACTTCTCCTCCTGCTAATGCAGAATATGATTAAAAAAAAAAGAAAAATCCCGTCTGTGTCAGTTTTATCTGATAAGTAACACCCCCCCCTCCACACACACCCCCCACCCCCTTCCGCCTGCTGCTAAAAAGGAGCAGCTGGAACAAGAGTGTTGGACAGATGGAACTTTCCACCTCGATTATTTTTCTCACTAAAAATAACCTCTCAAAAAATTAAAAGACCCCTGGGACCGCTTGCAAAGTGCATGTGCGTGCGTATACGTGTGTGTGTTTGAGCGACAGAGGCGGCAGAGAACTTCAGACGACAGGGTCCTCAGATGATGGCGGCAGCGGCCATCCTGGGAGTGTGAATGAATAAATGATGGGCTGATATTTGGAGGAGAGAGAGAGAGAGAGAAAGCAGCATCCGCCCGGTCCCACGGTCTCTTAAGCACACATTAAACTAGGCCCCAAAGAGTCCACAGGCTGCTCTGCTACGCGGCACTTGGCCAAGCATCTGGGGCAAACATCTGATGTGGTCAGTTCACAGAGGTTTGGGGGTTTAGAGGTTTGGGGCTTTGAGATTTTGGGGTTGGTTGTACCTTTAATCAAAGTGGCAAATGAGGGAATTGTGACTGAATCATGAGTGTGAATGGAACAGGGTGAGGCTGCTGATGCAGAAATTGGTTTGTTTTTTTTATCAGCATTTGGGTTAGATGATTAAAAAGGGTGTTGGGGAAGTCAGGTGTCACCAACACAGAAGCTCATTTATAGTATGTATGACTATGTGCAACTGTTATTTTATGACATATAAAACATTTCATCAGTGAAGTACTACAGTATGAGCAGTAACCAGTTTTATCTCAGCATGGTTGAGCCACAAGATCATGATAACCTCTCTGTGGGTCGAAATTGCTCTGTTGTGAGAGCAGATGTAACTTAAGAACCTGCAGAAAGAAGAATCTTCACTTTCTAACTAAAGGATGGAGAAAGAATAACTACAGTCATGCTGAAGATATAATTCAAAAAGCCCAAAAAATCCATCTTAAGATGACAAAACATAAGTGAGTCTACTTGCCTTAAGTGTCTATAACATTGGGTCTACAACATACTGTGACAGGTTGTAGCATTCGGATGAGACTATCTTTTTAGCTTGGCTTTCATTTCAAGTGTGTGTGTGCATGTGTGTGTGAAGAGCCCTGGGCTTATACATATTTAAAGCGGATGTCTTCCTCATGCTGTGGCACCCTGAAGATCCTCTACTTGAAATGAGCAGTTTTGCTTTGCTGGCTCTTGAGGTTTGACGGGACCTTTGCTGACAGGACTTGCACATCACATCAGTAACTCAGGAGATATTTGGTACATGGAGATGCAACATTAAGGTGGCTGTTTAATAGTTTTGAACAGTTTCATATGGTAAATAGCTTTTACACCCCTGTGACAAAGTAAAGGTATTAAAAAAAAAAAAAAAATTTGAAGATTCTGAAAACCTAAGAAATTAAATTGAAAGTAAAATTTGTTTCAATTAAGAGACTAATCTGAGTGAGTATTGAAGATATTTCAGTTATAAACTAAGAATATAAATGTAATGTGGGATATCATAGTGTTGTCAGGTGTCACGCGAGTACACGTACCAAATTCCCTGTTGTTTTGTTCTGTTGGTTGATTGGGA